CCAAAAGACTGCTTCCCGTACTTGAATCGCCTTGATCGAGTATATGCATATATACCATCAATCTTTACAGAGACGGCGCCAAAATAACCATGGGTTTAACGCAAAATATAGAATCAAAAAGGAGTAAACAACAAACAGTAAACTTTGGGAATAACTAATTTTTCTATCTGTTTACTGAGCACCATTTCGAGTGTAAAGGCTACGAGGTGTCCCTGTTCAATGAGGAGAAAGGTTACATCAACTAACAAACTAGACATTCTTCCACACACACAAATCCGAGTCAGCCTATACCCCCTGTTTCCGACTAATGACCCTCAACCAAGCCACTAGTTGTCATAATCTAAGCTTTCTTCAACTGCATATTGTGTAATTGTATAACTAATAATATCGGAAAACAATTGTTCGCTCACGGACAGGTCTTCTCAATAAACTGATGAACTGAGTTATGACCGTCTACATTCACGAAAAAAACTAGGGAATAAATTGTTTTTTAATCCTTGCTCGAGCAAGACCTTATATGGACTAGGTGTTGCCGTAGTGTCTTCAGTATCTCATTTCGACAGGTTGTAAAAGAAGGTTCATTATCATAAATATTTGCTCCTTTCAAACATTTTCACTCCTACTCCTAATCGTTTCCTTTCATTCATTCGTACAGCACAGTTCCGGTGCACCCCATTTCAACTACTCACGGGGCCTTATGCATGGAGCTAGCGTGGCCACGTTTGGACCACTTACTAAGGATATGCAGCTCGAGTCTCCTTCCCCATCATGGACCACAGGCTATCCACCACCACCAGCAGCAACCGGGGTTTTACAGACCCCTGTGGATTCGTTTGGTCTGTTACACAACCCGAGACGACTCTTCCCACAGGCTGTTTCTAACAATCCGTTTCTATAGGTTGTCTATTCGTCCCATATCTGTTTTTTTTTCGAGAAGTATAGTACTACTATCGTGCAGTTCAGAAACCGTTGCTTGTTCGCATCCTCGACAGCAATTTCACCCCATCTCCGTCCTCTGTTCTGACCCCGAACGGACACTGTTTCATTCACCTTTGGTGTCCACAAGAGTTCCCTTCCTTTCCAGTTGGAGTATATGCATATATGCCGTGTTCGTTTGTATTCTCTTCCTTTTTCCCGTTGACTCAGAGTACCAACGTGATGGCAGTCAGTTACTTTTCCCTCGGGTACCCCCAACTTATGTGCACCTTCTCATCTTTCGTGATCTGTCCATTTCTCACCTTCCCCTCAAGTATTATCTCCTTGCTCACACTGTTCAGACCACTGACCAAAGTACCGACAGTATGCATGGTGGTGATCGATCTGCTCTAGATTTCGTATCCTTTCATATCATATACCACCCAAACTTTCAAAATGTATCCCCTTGATTGCCCAAACCTCGCGTCTGAGCTGTCAGAAGAAGAACCCGGCTCATCATCATATTTTTCACGAGCAGCGTTTCTGTTCTCCATTGGTTCTCCTTCCGTGGGAGGAAATAATATGTTAACATTTTCGGAATGCGACGATGGACAGGGGATCACAGCTGAGTCGTGCGTGATAAAAACCCGCGGTTCTGAAATTGTGCTACTATAGGCCACTGATTACAAAGTTGAGCGCGAATGATCTTTGTAAAGTTTCCCAGTAGAATTGCAACAGTCCAGTTACAAAAATAGCTTAGGCCCAATGAAGGCAAATGTTATTGATTACAATGGCCGCCTGTCATGTGAAGCCCTGAAGAAAATGTAACCGGTCAGTGGAGGGGCACAGAAGTGATCACGTTTGCAATCAAACGTCTATATTATGGTCCAAGTGGACCACTAGGAGGCGACAACCAAAACCGGTGCTCTAAAGCGTAAAACCACTGGTTGGAGAATGAATTATTCTTGTCTAACTTTGATGGTAGTTCCAACCCACAACAGGTTTACGTACCGCGCATGCGCTTTTGCATCTCTGCATTTGACTGAGACGCATCCCGTGCCTTTAAATTTGGAGCTTCTCTGAGTTTAACCTGTAATCAACTCTATGCGCTAACTACGTAGGTTGTCCCTCCGCGGTTTGCCGCAGATGCATGGTATAGCACGTCTTTTCGTCTTTATTAAACGTCATCGGACAGGAGTGAAACGCTATCACCGGAATGTGTTGACGATGCACACACATTTTCTTTGCAAGACTAATACTAACCCGGAAACAATAAATTTGTCAAAGCTTTTAACATGGACTGGAGATTCTCTCTGACCTGTCAATATTGACAGTTCTCAGCTTACAGTTCATTCTGAGGCAGCGTATCGTACTATTTGGACCTCATTCTAACTAATCCATTTCGTATTACAATGATAAAATGTGAATCCTGTTCCGGTCATCATCATCATCATCCCCTCAATAAATGGGGGTGGGTGGGTAGGATGTGGAATAGCACATCCCGAGTGTGCCAATCGTCAGATGTTGTCTATACTGATCATCTTTTCAACTTCAAAGACATCGGTAGTTCAATCCGAAACGGAGAATCATTTCGCCTTTTGCTCATCAATGTGTTTTCCCATTCTTCTTTATTGCTTCGCGCTGATTTTTGCTGGACTATTTAAAAAAGACTTCAGAATTCTTCGACGCGGTTCGTCGATTATCAGTCTTACGCCCGTTGATGAGGGCCCATTGAGAGCCGGAAAGACATATATGTTTACTGACAGTGAGTTTCAGTGTGATAGATTGTGCGATGAAATCCGGACAATATCATACTTGCTGGACATCACTTTTCCACCACAACCTCGGTGTATTTTCACGATTTTATCTCAGTGACATTGGTCTTACGCGGTTACTATAGACTATCCTCTCACTCAAGACCTTTCACCTTTTCGCTTTCGATCTGTTTGCACGTTACTGCGCTTGCTGACTTCATGCTTTAATCCAAATATTTGTTAGCGCGCACTGATACACTTCGTGTGTCACTTTACTTCAGTACACGTCTGTCAAAATCACAAGTTTACTGGTTTCACTAGTAGCAACTCGGTTGTTTACGAGTAGCGGGACCCTTTAAGAAGCTCATCACGACTGGTCATAGATGACACACTTCAGGGTTTCGCAGGTAGAGGGATGACGGAAAATTCCGCGTAGACCGTATTCCTTTTGTGAAAGATAATTGGCCAACTGTTTTCTTGAAATTTGGGGCATTAAGTGAGTGCAAGTCATTTGTTAATGTTCATCAAGCTTATGTCGTTGACAAGCTCCCGATACCTAATGTATCGATCATAATTAAGTAATCCTAGACTAACGATCATGATTGAAGGGATTTCCCTGCGAGATTGAATGTTTCGAAGATTCACTTTGAACTGTGCTCTGTTATCATGTGCTTCAACTCCTTTATTTCTTCTGCCTAGGAATAGCTAAAACGCTTCAATCTTTTTGGCTAAAACCGTGGTGACTGCTTTATCACTAGTGTTTTACATCACGTTCTTGTTCCACCGAACGTTGACGTACGTTGCTTCCATACACTTCCACCTTGATAAGTCGGAACTATTCTACAGCCGGATAGTTTGTTCTTTCCGCCTTTTTGGCATCGCCGGGGTTTCTTAACGTTGCATTTCAACATTGACTTGGCGCGCCGTTCGAAAAATGCTGCTCCCATTCTCTACTTATCGTGAATCATAAATATCTCCATAATTATGGAGAAGTTCGTTCTGTTCTTTTGTTGCAAGTCAACATTTACCTCATTTTATCTAGCCGCAAGATGCAGTCGCAACTGAAAATGGTTTAGAAGTATATTTCCAAACCACAAATTCCTACGTCCGATACTGAAATTCTAAATTCTAATACTTATTATCTCAATAAAAGTAGCTCATTTTGATCTTTTTTCCTTTCAAATATTTCACGTATTCATAAATCAGTGTCTTATTTCAAAAAATATGTAAATCTTATAGAAGTTTATATCCAAACTTTAAATTCTATCCTCTGACACTTATTACGTCGATTGCTCTTTGAACTGCAAAATGATAAAAATAAACAAATTTATTAACTATATTTTCAGGTAGAATATTTCCGCACTGCCCGTCTTAATCGTTCGGCGCACCGTGTTACGCCACCGTATTTTGCGTTCAAATACAGTTTTTGGTTCAGGTTTCTTATGCTACCTTCTTGTTCGATGAGGTGGGCTCTGGGGTCGCCTGGTCGCATTACAAAATCTTTGCGAATCGCACGGATTGTCGTGGATGCTTTAAATAGTTGGGACAAAAATAAAACTTATCGTCGATCAGATATGCCTCCCTACCTGCACTAGGATAACAGGTTAGCCAATGCATTCTAGGCTACTGGAGGCACACGATAGCGTGGAAGGTTTACACGTGTAGCGATGCAGCGTGACTCACCGGGACAAATGACAATTCCGCGGTTGAGCGTAAACAGGTAAGGTGCACCCGGTAAAACAAAAGCTCGTTGCGAGTAGAAAAGAAGTCGNGCCCCCCCCCCCTCTAGAAGGCTATCGAAGATGAGCCTTCGAAACGAGTTCGTAACGTCACACTAGGGGTAAGTTTGTGCACCAAAATGGTATAGCGAACCAAGATAACCAGTCCGTCAGGAGAAACGGGAGACAGTCGAAAGGTACAAACGGTGGGTTTGAATGTCCAGAACAAAATGTCAAAGAAGCTCGCCGCCGAACGTAACGGCGAGTTAAAAGAATGTCGTCATGGGGAAACGAAGTGATCAACTGCAGGTGAAATGGAGTTTCGGTCACGGGCCTCATTTTTGCGAGTCGGAGAACGTTGTTTTCGTTAAAGTAGGTCTTCTTCCCGGGTGTGCAGAGCCGTAGACGTGGGTCGCCTACCCTGAAAAACTGACCGAGGCTTATCAGAAAAAGGGACGAGGCTAGCCAAAACCGGATACGCACTACGGGTGTAGGGATGGCTACCCCCCTCCGCACACCCGTCTGACTCCTCGATCCGGGGTTTTCCTTCCAGAGGTAGTACTTCTTTTGGTTGAGCCGGAAATCTGGAAGAGC